GTCGCGTACGGATAAATGTCTTCAGGATATTCTGGTATTCGTTTCAGGGCGCTCACCTCACGACAGGGTGGTGATTGTTGTCCCGGTTTCCTTACAGTCGCATAATACTGTTCCCTTTGTTCGGTATTTTGTTTATTGTCCAGAGCCACCTGCGTCTGTGAATTTGGATCGTTCACGACTCCTGATCTTTCCGGATCTGAAATTATAAAGTATGATCGTCGATATAATGTATTTAGATATATAAAAATATAATTTACCACATAAAGAGAGAGAGAGAGAGAGAGAGAGAGAGAGAGAGAGAGATAGAAAATGAAAGAGAAGTACTCGTAAACGGATATCGCCATCGTGTTTTCTAATTTCATATGCCATCCACGCTTTTAAAACCCTCATGAAACTATTACAGGCACTGACGTTGGAAAGTTTACGGTGCGAAGTTACGGCCGAATCTACTGCATTATTTAACTCGACCAAAGTAATGTATAATTAGGTACCTATAGAGGTCCCTTGAAACTATCAGAGAAAAGATGATATACGCAAGAAGGATATATATATATATATCCGATATATATATATATATATATATATATATATATATATAAAATTTAGAGTGAATTAGAATTTCATGAAAAAGTTGGAGAATATGTCAAGCTAGGATGAATCATATAATATGACGTGAAAATATTCGATACGTGTTAAATTCATTTTTCATAACAGTTAGTGAAATTGTGGAAAGAAAAAAAGAAAAAAAAAAAAAAAAAAGAAAAAATTTCCTTCAGATTCGCGAAGTTGAATCGACGATGTTACATCGTCTGGTTAAAGTAAAAACCGATGAGACGAGAGAGTCAAGTGAGTTTTACAGAAATTCTTCGGTCGTTCCTTGACTTCCATCCGTTCAAGTGAAATCCCAATGACGCCGAGAGATAGAAACTCTTAAAAGCTATTGGTACTTTTTTCTCTCTTTCTCTCTCTCTTTCTCTCTCTCTCTCTCTCTCTCCCCCTCTTTTTCTCTCGTAATTGGAGTACGACTCTTCGATATTTGGTTACTCTTGTCTGTGCGACAAGTGGCTTGGATAGTGGATAACGGTAGGGAGGAAGAGGAAGAGGAGGAGGAGGAGGAGCAGAGTACTACCGAGCATTCCCTCTGGCTTAATGCAAATTTCTGATGGGATGGTCGTGTACGTATACAGTCAACCTGTCGACACGTCGATTTATGAACTTCGATAGTACTTCTCATTGACTCGTTCGCAAATCGATTCTCTCTATCGAAACGGGCGTTATTAAGAATGACGAAGAAAAAGAAAAACAAATAGAACAAGAGAATATAAAAATGAATAAAATGTACAAATTCGATAATACTATATATTATTATGAAGATATAAAAATAGAATGGAAAAGAAATGAGAAAAGATTCTATTGAAATTGAAATAGAAAAGAATTCGTATTATTATATAGGTATTAGAATAATAATTCAACGATACTTACGAGTTTTTAAACAGAAACAAACGCCACCAACAGCTAGGATTACAGCGAGAACCGAAATGACGCTCGGTGCCAATACGTGAGCGTCAAGATATAGGGGCGTATTTTCAGCTTCCTGGGGTTGGTCCTCGTGCAGCCGAATGTTGCCACTCTGTGACAGGGTGGTGAACAAGTACTCGGCCTGGGTGGATCCGGCATTGTTGTAAGCTGTCACACGTAGCTCGTAGTTCGTTCCGCTTTCTAGATCTGTTACGGTGTATCTCAATTGGGGTGGAACATTATTGGACACTGAAAGGTACACGGACGAGTTCCTGGAAAGCTCTTTTCGAAGAGGACATATCAAAATGAATATAACATTGTTAACTCACCTAATAACCAATCTCCAGGTGGCCTTCTATATTCAACAACAAAATAAAGAAGCGGACAACCTCCGTCCTGCCATGATGCTAATTCTAAATTGATAAATGTCTGATTGGTCTTGACAAGATGATGCTTGGAAGGTGGTATAGGTTTTGAGCCATTTGTCTTAGCAGTTTCGATTTTGCTAGCACTACCGCTGCCTATTTTATTGAAGGCAGCAAGAGTGAACTGATACCTGGTACCACATTGCAAACCCTCGAGAAGATGTGTACTGGCTCTGCGGTCGAGAAGCACTTCCTCCCACTCGGCGAACTCACGACGATAAGCCAAGAGAAATCCTTTAATGGGTGCACCACCGTTGTCTCCCTGTTTCCATTGTAACTGAACGGCGTCGGTCGTTGTGCCGGTTGCCAGAAGCGTTGGCGGAGTCGGCGGAACTATGCATAAAGTTTACCAATTAGAACTTGTCCGACGTTCGACGACGAAACAAGGGCGGAAAGCAATGCCGACTCGACTCGACTCGACTAGACTCGACTCGACTCGACTCGACTCGACTCGACTCGACTCGACTCGACTCGACTCGACTCAACTCGACTCAACTTGACTCGACTAGTACTATACAACAATCTTCAATCCATCCTTGTGCGAATACGAATCGGGCGAGATTTCGTCGCGTCCGTTAGAATGCTTTACTTTAGACAAGAGAATATACCATTACTCGTCTTTCAAGAACGTATCGGTTCTATTACATTTCTATTGTTTTATACGTGTAAAATTTGCTATGTGAAAAAAGGAAGAGCCATAAGCTTATAACGATCCTATCCTCAGTGATATGGCTCAGCTTTAAAATCCTTCGAGTGTTTCTTATGTACACTAAGATTACCATCAAAGGATATGTATATGCATCTTGGTATTGGCAGAAGAAGACTATCTTAAACTTTAAGTTTTAACGAGTTTCCACTCTCCTTCTCTCCATCGATTACGCACGGATTTTCAACGTCGACTTAAGGGGAATCGATTTTTTTTTCTTCTTTTCTATTTCCTTTTTTTTTTTTGTTTCCTTTTAAATATCTTGTCTTTCAAAGTTGAACGATTTTCTCGAAGACCGAGGGGAAAAAAGAAGGAAAGAAAAAGAAAGAAAGAAAAAAAAAGAAAAAAGATAAAAAAGAAATCGACAGAGCGAAATAACAAATCCGCTTACACTAACTTTTCAAAACGAAGATCTTACGTACCTTGCACTTGCAATGTGTAAGTGATCTCGTCAGATCCAAGAGAGTTCTTCACGTGGCAGGAATAATTGCCCTCGTGACTCCTTTGAACGCTCCTCAGAGTAAGAGTATTATCTGGACCTAAATCATAGCTGAAATAATAAAAATATAACAAACAAATTTAACTTTACGTTTGTCTTAATAAGACGACGATACGTTTCAGTTTTTCTCTCTCTCTCTCTCTATATATATATATATATATATATATATATATATATATATATATCTTTCTCTCTCTCTCTCTCTCTCTCTCTTTATCCGTCCATCAGCTTCATTAACGGCTTTCGAAGTAACGTGCAAAGTTATTTTCTATAGCAAAATGGCCGTTAAAATAATGCCGGAAGTTGGAGGTAACCGCTAACAAGATTAAAGGATTACTTTAGAGCCAAGAACTTTGCTCATCGCTTGGTAGAGTGACTCGAAAAGTATGCCTCTACTTACTTCTGATGCAACTTCACATCAGCTCGTCTCCACTCGACTGTAGGTCGTGGATTTCCAACCGAAAGGCAAGCCATATTAACGTCGACTCTCCATGGTACCACGATAGGAATACCAAATGATATTATTGCAGCTGGAACTGATAATGATAGGGGAAAGAATTAATTTTTTCCCCTTTTTTATTATTTTCTTTTCCCCCTCATTCATTTTACATTCACATCATTAATATCAATTGACAAAAATATGAATTTTAAATATCTCCTATCGATATAATATATCGAACGATATTAATCAATTGATTGATTGATTCAGGATCATAATTAGAACATCGAAATGTCATTTATCCGAGTAAATGTAATGTTTGGATAGAACGTTAATGTTAAGTTACGAGTTAAGAATGAACGTTAATCATAAGTTTGAGAGCGAGCAAAATATATGTTGTGGACGAAGTCTCGCGAAAAATGCTTAATCATTGTCAATATCATGAGAACATGAGTTATGAAGTATATTTCGGAGGATATATAGGTACGTTATGGTATGTAAAAAAAAAAAAAAAAAAAAAAAAAAAAAGAACAACTGTACGATATAAATGCTCTTCTGTTTTATTAATAGAAGAGAAAAAAAAAAAGATAAGAAAAAAAATAGAAAGATAAAAATGAAACTTGTACGATTTATTTGATCGTTTTAAAATCTATCATTCTATCATTTAAATAATATCAAAATTTGATCATTGTCATTGAATCAATTTCTTTCGAAAGAAAATAAAGAAAACAATAAAACGTGTCTGACAATTATCATTTAGGTCAATTTTAACGTTAACCCTAAATAAAATAGACAATTTGAGTTTTGAGAGAGAATCGAGACGTTTACACCGAACATGTTTTCTTACAGTTATTTAAAGTTTGTTACTCGTTAATAAAAACAAAAAAAAAAAAAAGAAAAAAAAAGAAAAAAGAAGAAGAAAAAAAAGGAGAAAAGTTGATTGTTCTCAGACTTGTCAGCTTCGAGTGAAGATGTCTAAAGACATTCTCTCTTTCTCTCTCTCTCTCTTTCTCTCTCTCTCTCTCTCTCTCTCTCTCTCTCTCTCTCTCTAAGGTAAGTAATGTATTTCGCAAAGGAAGTTCTCGAGAAACGCCTGAGGCTGGCTTACCAGTAGTGCTTGGTTGAAGTTTGATGGCCAGAGTACCAGTACCCTGGCCTATTTTAGTCGAGGCCGCGACCCAAGCTTCATAGGACTCGCGTAACTTCAAACCAGTCACCTCATGATGCAAGTTCTGCGCAGGCAACGGACTCTTACTGATCTTTACTTCCTGGCCCTGGTCCAAAACTCGAATAAAAACGGTGTATTTGGTGAGAACTCCGTTCGGTCGACGAGGTGGTAGCCAAGATATTACTACTGAATCTTCGCCACTTGCTACAGCCTTAACACGTTCTGGTGCATCCGGAGCTACATATGGACATATTATCATTGACTCGTTGAAATCATTTTATTATACAAGCAATTTCGTGTTCAATGTAATAAAAATAAATCGAATACGATCATGACAACCTTATATAATTACGATTAGTACATAGAGAAACAATATAATATGGCTTGGATCTCATTCTCCTAAGTTATTTACGTATACAGATATTATATGCATATAGGAATAGATAAAGCAGCCAGTTTCAAGAGTAGTTTCTATGCAAACTTTACCGCAGTCAATTTCAGATTACACACTTGGAATAGTTAATAGGTCGGACAACGAATAATTTCCGTATGAACAGGCTTATTCGATTGATAAGTGTTTGAGATTAATTTAATAAAGAATAAGAAAAAAGAAAAGAAAAAAAGAAAATAAAAAAAAAAAAAGAAAGAAAACAAAAGAAAATAAAATGATTCAAAACTTATGACCGGATGATGATCGATGAATGATTTTCTAATTGGACAAAGTTGTTTCAAATGATTTACCAGTTTCCTCGGTAGTGCAAGAGGCAGGACTGCTGCTGACACCTTCCCCAGCTTTGGTATATGCCAAGACCTGAACGGTATAGTTCGTGTAAGGACTTAGACCATGTAATACCGTGCTAAGTGCATGACTGATTTTCGTTTCTCGACCGGTTTGTGATTCGGAGGCGACGCCGCTGGCTGCTTCGTACAGGAGCTTGTATCCTTGCACGACCCCGTGAACTTTGTCGGAAGGTGGTGGTTTCCAGGTCACCTGAATGTTCTGCCCGGTCAAAGCGGTGCAGGCCACGTTCTGCGGTGGCGCGCTTGGAACTGTGTCAAATCGTATATCGTAAATTTTCCTCTATACCTCTACGATCCTCTTTCTCCTCCTCCTCCTCCTTCTACTACTACTACTAGTACTATTCCTCCTACTTTTACGTGAGTTTAACTTATTCCTCGTGAATACTTTTATATGGACATACGCGTATAGTTCGAAAAGGTCGAAAGATAAATCGATCTAAATTAAATTCTACGCGAAGTAATCTCTGACAAGATTGACGAAAGTTTTATTAAGAAAAAAAAAAAGAAAAAAAAAAAAAAAAAAGGGGAAAAAAAAGAAAAAAGAAAAAGAAAAATACGGAAGAAGAAAACAAAAGATTATTGTCAATCGATATCTCTTTTACTCAACTTTACTATTACGATCTTTTAAGAAAGTTAAGTAGATAAGAAGGTGTATAGTCCAAGTATAAAATGGTTCAAATTTTATTGAATTCAAAAATCAAAGTCAGCTGGGAACGATCGGTCAGAGAGCGAAAGGAGTATCGTACGGTAACTTCAACGAGCAAGATCACTTTCAATTAGAATCCTTTTAACAAAACGCTCTTGGATCTAGATGTATATATAGTCTAAAGGAAAGGAGTGAGCTTGAAATCGGGAAAGAGAAAGAAAGACAGACAGAGAGAGAGAGAGAGAGAGAGATAGAGAGAGAGAGAGAGATAGAGATTGAGAAGGGGAGACGAGGGAGGGGCGGAGGGGGTTAAATCTACGAGAACAAGCTTTCTACCGTGCAACGTCTAAGAACGTAAACGCTCGCGGGCGTATCGTGGTAGTCGGTAACGTCGCCGGTAGTTACAACTTTAATAGAATCCCATCTCTACCTTTACTGTACTTTCACCCTCCACCCTTCCGTGTCCTCCTTGTTCCCTTTTCCTCCTTCTATAGAGAACAAGTGGATGAAGGAGAAAGAACAGGGAAGGGGATTCAGGGAGTATGGGGTAGTATGGGGTAGTTCGTTTGAAAACTTTTACGAACGATACGGCGAATAATTATTAATATAATCAAATCAGATAAGGGAAATTGTTCCGAAAATTCGAACAGTCGATGGTAATATAAAATGTACGAGAAGAAAGGAAGTAAGAAGTGTGTGAAGATAAAAAAAAAAGAAGAGAGAGAGAAAGAGAGAGAGAGAGAGACAGAGAGAGAGAGAGAGAGAGAGAGAGAGAGAAGGAAAATGAGGAAACGAGAAAAGATATAAAAGTAGAGGGTTTAAGGCTCCAAGGGGTCGTCGTAGGAAGTTAGCGTCTACTTGAAATGCCCAATGAGTTTTCTGAGAATTCAAAGTTTTTATTCCGGGACACGTGGAAACCGCGCATATAATTATCCATTCCGTTAGAACAATATTCCACCTTTGGAGAAAGATAAACTCTTGGAATTAAGCAGACCCATTTGCAAAACAGAGTTATTCTTTCTCTTTCTCTTTGTGTTGTATACATAATTACTTACTTACTTACTTATTACATGCGTGATTTTGTTTTGTTCTTTTTTTTCTGTTCTCTCTCTTTCTCTCTATTAGTCGGTCTATTTCTTTGTTTGTTTGTCGGTATCTCTTTCTCTCTCTCTCTCTCTCTCTCTCTCTCTCTCTCTCTCTCTCTCTCTCTCTCTCTCTCTCTCTCTCTCTCTAGTGAGTGCGTGCACGTATATCGTTGATTCCTTTTTAGACAAATTTATCGTTCGGATAGAGTATCGTTTTATATCGGAGGAGTGGTATTATCGGAAAAGTAGATTCGATTTCTTCGAATAAAGTAAGAATTTCTTTTGATGCTTTTCAAGTTGGTTCGAGCTAAAGCTTTATCGAAATCAAATTGAAAAGAGATTTACGGGGGAATGAATGTTTGTAAACGTACGTTAATGGAATATAATACCTGTGGATACGTAATAAAATTCTCTGCTAATTTTTGTATGTCTATAAAGAAAAAAGAAAGAAAAAAAAGAGAGAGAGAGAGAGAGAGAGAAAGAAAAGAAAAAAAAAAAAATCAGTACAGCTAGACTATATAATTGTGATTGAACGTTATCTTATCCACGATATCCTTACGTGTTCCCAGAATGATGTTCATCGTCGAGACGATATCGATACAAGGGAAATCTGTACACCGGACAATAATGAATGATCGGACAAAACATTTCCCTTAATACCTGATCCAAGTGACATTTTACCTGAAGCTTCTTCTCTCACGATCGCTAAGAGGTTCATTCGATCGTTAGATACTTGTTTACGAACATCTGGGATTTACGAGCTGATACATGAGATCTTTTGGATGTTATATTACTATTGCTATTATTGTCGTTACCATTTATACTTCTTTTTCTTCGTTCATTGATAAGATTGAAAATCAATATCCGATCATTAAAACGATAAATTTTCAAATGATTATAAATATTCGAGATAAAAAGTTTTAATATAATCCAATTGTGTAATAAAAATCATATATGTTCATCGTAATTATTAATACATCGAATAATATATTATATCGATTATAATAAATTCCATTTGAAAGGTATCGACGAACGAGTATAAAAGACGAATATATCGAAAATTGTCGTCCGGCACTAGCTTTATTTTTCAATTCGACGAAAATATGTTCAAACGAGAAAATGAGAAAAATATGAATAATAATTCTCCTCGGTCTCTTCGCCCCACCCCCCTTCTCCTCCCCCATCCACCACTCTTCTACGAAAGAGAGAGAGAGAGAGAGAGAGAGAGAGAGAGAGAGAGAGCAAAAAGAGAACAAAAGAAAAAGATTTGCTTGCGTCCGAGTTTATTGTATATCTAATATGTTGGAATTTTTTTATTAACACTCTATCTCTATCTCCGTCTATCACTATCTTCTCCTTTTTCTTTATCTCCTCGGTAATACGATTTTTTTACGAGAGATTCTTTCCCCGTGAAGCTTTATGCTTTTCAGATTTATGAATTTCGCGTAATAATTCTAGGTATTGAATGCATCTTTCATTCTTTCTTTTATGAATTTTATTAAATTTTGAAATATCATACGCATATTCGTGTAATGATCACTTAAGTATGTAAAGACGAGGAATGTCACGTATATATTAATATTTTTAAATACTTTGAATGGAAAGAAGAAAAAAGTTACAAGAGAAAGAAAGAGAGAGAGAGAGAGAGAGAGAGAGAGAGAGAGAGAGAGAGAGAGAGAGAGAGAGAACAAAAAGAAAAACGAAGTTGATTATGGATAAACGAGGAACCAGGAAGATTGTTATGGATAAATATAAGAAATAAGAAATATAAACACAAAGTACAAAAGGGTATATAAAATAGTACGTTTACTTACCATCTTCAAAGGTTTGTGCCATGACTAAATCAGAACCAGGGCCATCTCCTTTGCTATTGAACGCCTTCACCACTATACTATACTGAGTGTATTTTCGTAAACCGGTTAGTCTGTAATCGTAGGAACCGTCGCCGTTTCCTGTGATACCCACACGCGTTGTATTCACCGATTGATCATCTACCCTGGAATAAAATGACATTGGGGGGAACGTTGTCTATTGGTCTGGAAAGATAAAACGAGGCGCAAGACGCAGATTTTCAAAACGCCTCGAGCTATCTTACAACAAACTGGAACGAGAAATGGCAATCCTCCCGCCCCTCCCCACCCCTTTTCGCCTCCTTTTCACATCCTACACCATAATGGATATTATTCTTTTTTTCTTTTTCTTTTCCTTTTCTCTTCTTTTCTCTTCTTTTTCCTTTTTCTTTTTCCTTTTTCTTTTTCTTTTTTCTTTTTTCTTTCCTCGGTTTAGTAAATCTCTCCCTCTTTCCCCGTTCCTCTCCCATTTCTTTTCATTGTTAAGAAGAACGCTCGCGCGTTCTCTACCAAGTACCACTATCGAGTACGAATAAGAAAAATTGTATTACGAGTAATACGATTGGAAACATAAAGCAATCGATAATATCTATAGTATATCATACTATATTACACTTATTCACGCATAGGGCCTCTTTATATTACAATGCATTCGTATATTCAATGTTTCGATCAAGATAGTGTGATTCAATTATTTTCATCCGAGGAACCAATGATTAAAACTCTTCAGAACGAATAACCACGAACGATGAAGCTTTCGATGTATTATTAAAATTGATTCCATTTCTTTCTCGAGTTTTAAATCCGTTTCCACCTTGGTTTTTATCTCTCCTCACTTCTTTTTATCTTTTTTCTTTTTCCTTTTCTTTTTTCTCCTTTTTTTTTTTTCTTTTTTTTTTCTCTCTCACCCTTCCCACAATTACACTTCCCTTCTCGTACTTTTCCTTTCTACCTAGAATATTGCTTGTTAACGAGCCGTAACGTGTTTTCCGATCCTTCTTCTTCTTCTTCTTCAACTTCTTCTTCTTCTTCCTCTTCTTCTTTCTATCCTTTTTCCTCTCCTTCGTCGAGTGTAACGAAAGAGAAAATAACGTTTTCCAGTTCTTCCAGCATGAAAAACAGTGATCCATACGCGTCAAGACGGATGATTACTCGAACAAGCTTATTAATGGCAGAACTTTCCAAGTGCCCACTCTGGCAGAGAGATAGAACCTTCATTTTCAGAAGTTCAGAAGCAGAGATCGTCTTGGCGGCTTTCCAGTTACAATAATTAAGCAGATAAAAAAGCTCGTTAGCCATTCAAAGCTGAACGACGTCGTGGGTTTGTAGACGTTGCTCGTTTTCGAGCTTCAGATCTCGAAGGAAGCATCTTCGTCGATTCTTATACGTGATAAAAAGTAGCCGTACCTCTCCTTCATCTACCCCCCCCCCCCCCCTCCTATACCCTTCTCCATCCTTCCCCTTACTCTTCTCTCATCCCACCCACTCACCTATCCAACAGAACGATTTATCATTTCAAAAGGAAACCCTATTCAAGTGCCCTTCTAGCTGTACATTTCAACGTTCTTTTGTTTTAACCACCGAACTAATTCCTTTGATTTTGAACGATTGCCAAGTGAATAACTTATCGATCGAGATGGTTACGATAATAATATACACAACTTCCACGAGAGAAATTCAATTTCCATCGTGTTTTTAACTTTTCATTTATCGTAAAGTTACGAGCGATCGTAAAGTTACGAGAGCTTTTGTTCAAGTTTCAAGTATCAAGTATGTATCAACGAAATTGAAATTATTCGAGGTAATAAGAAATCGAAATATATATCGCGAGCTAATATTCTTTTTTATAATTTTTAATAGTCGTATAAAAAGAAAAGAAGAAAAGTTAAAGAGCCAAAAAAAGAAAAGGAAAGAAAAGAAAGAAAGAAAAGAAAAAAGAAATAGACGAGAGAAAAAACGTGAAAAGATATTTCCCTCATAATAATCGAAAATTTAGAATACCTATTATTAAATAAAATCTGAAATTTAGAAGATCAGTTATCAAACTATATCGAAATAATGTATTATCCAATAAATGATTTAATTATGATCGATAAACGATCGTTCTATAATAGGATTTACTTTATTGATCCTGTTGCGGTTAATCGTAAAATCCGTTTAATCGATTGGGACTTAAGTAGGTACATGGTCGTGTACGAGAAAGGCTTCCGTTAACCGACATAGTGGATACTACGAAGTGCACTAGAAACTATTCCTAAGCACTGGTAAGGAGATAACGATACCCGAGATTGGTATAGCTGATGGTATATCCGAGAAGCTCGCCGTTCCAGAGAGATCGATCTGGTGGTTGCCAAGTAATCTTCAGTTGTTGCGGTCCCAATGGTTCGACAGATACGTGCTTAGGTGGGCCTCCTGGAACCTCGCCGTCCGTTTGTGCCTGCATCCAAGTGAAATGTATCAAGAACCACAAAAAATCAATGAGACATTTAAAAAAATACAATATCATTCAACATATTCCAAATCGTATTACAAACTTGGGTTTAAATAAAATCAATAACCGATATTATCATTCCGAGAAACTTCAATATCCATTATTTCTCATACGATATTATATATTATTTATCATACGAATGAGAAGTGAAAATTCATTTGGAAACGAATTAAATGAAATATATATTTATTTAATATCTCGCAATAGAAAAAAAAAAAAAATCGTACATTAATCGTAAGCCATTGACCCTTCATGTTTTTCCTACAATTTTCACAATTTAAATACTCATTGCAAAATATGTTTACAATTTATTACTCATTGAAAAATATGTTGCATAAGGTACGACTACAGAGGTCCTTGACCTTTCCTATTGAAATTCTACGCGTTTTCGGAAGAGCAATCGGCCATTGGAATTTTCCGTCTGCATTGGACATGCCGAAGTGATAGCGGCATGTATTTGATATTTATGAAAAAAATGGAACCACGATCGACGCCCGTGTCGTTGATAACAGCCGCGAGGAAAAACATAACCTTCTTTTTTATTGTAGTACAAACGAAAATATGTAGAAGGTGTATGTATACATACATACATACATACATACATACATACGTACATACGTATGTATCTCTTTTATACGATATTACTGATAAGTGTATATATGTATGTAGATATATATGTATACGTGTATGTATGTATACGTATGCATATGTATGGTGCGTTGATTTGATACTGACATGAAGTATGTCGCTTGGCGCTGATGTTCCAAGGTGATTTTCCGCAAGCACTCGAAAGTGGTAGGTGGTAGCGGGTTTTAGGGGTGATACCAGAGCGACCGTGTTGTCTCCTGCTACCAGCTTCTGCGTGTTGTGTT